AGTAATATCCTAGTATGTATTGTGTACATGATTTCAAGAGTGTCCTGGTATGTATTGCGTGTTTTATCTCAGTAATATCCTAGTATGTATTGTGTACATGATTTCAAGAGTGTCCTGGTATGTATTGCGTGTTTTATCTCAGTAATATTCCAATATGTATTGTGTACATGATTTTAACAGTATGCTGGTATGCATTGTCTACATGATTTCAGCAGTGTCCTGGTATGTATCTTGTACATGATTTCAACAGTGTCCTGATATGTATTGTGCTGCATGATTTCAACAGTGTCCTGGTATGTATCTTGTACATGATTTCAACAGTGTCCTGATATGTATTGTGTACATGATTTCAACAGTGTCCTAATATATATTGTGTACATTATTTCAACAGTGTCCTGATGTGTGAGCCTGTTTTGTACAGCACTAGATTACCCCTGATGTATCGTGGGACCATTATTCCAAAAATATATTTTTGTTCTTAAGAAACATATGATTTTGTATTTTGATTTTGAATAGATAGAACTGTGATTGAGAGAAAAATTATTTGAAAATTGGGGGTTTTTCTTTATCCTACTTGTATTTGTTTATTATTTTTCTGTCAAGTCAGTGTAGCATTTTTGTGCAAACTTAATTAAGGTATGTTTATCTCATATCAGAATTTAATGTAAGTCATCTGGTAGTATGCTTCTAATAGAGATAATACCACTTTACAACCTCAAAATCGTTGCTGTTTAATTTTTACTGAAAGCATGAGCACATGGATGAAATGTCCATGGATTTTTATGTGCAGTATAGAAGTGAGTTAAAGTGTAATTTTTCACCTAAAACTATTTTAATTAGATGATAAAATCTCCACCTTTTTTCTACAGTAGTATTGATTATGCATTCTTACTTTATACGTGACTTTTTATTTCTTGGAAGTTTTAAGCTATATTGTGAATTTGAGGCAGAGTTTTATGAAACAAGTCACCTATGTCTTTCAGTTCTGTGAATGAAGTGATTTGTCATGGAATACCAGATGCTCGTCCTCTTGAAGATGGAGATCTGCTTAATGGTAGGTTTTATTTCTTCATAGATTTTGAAATTGTTTGCGTTGAAAGTTTTAAAACAATGTGAATAAAAGTAAATTAAACTGTTGCACCTAAATTCAATATAGTGGAAGATGCATTGTTCTTTGTAAGAAGGTTTAAATAAAGTGTAAATGTTTCTGATGTGTACAAATGAAACTCTTTTGAAAGTATAATGCATTGAACAGATACAGTTGATGAGAATTAGCCAAGCCAAGACCCCTCCAGAACATTCCACATTCTGACAAAGGCCCCTCACCCACCCAATGAATCTGTAGATTCTGAGCATCTTGCTTTCATTGCAAACAATATATTTAAGGAAT